GATCTATCCGGAAGAGAAGAAGATTAGCCGACAGTCTCGCAGTGATAATCAAGTGACGCGATAAATCGGAGGATAGGCTCGTGACTATATCCGAGAGAAACGGCCTGCATCGTGACTATATCTGAGAGAAACGATATACATCGTGATTATATCCGAGAGAATCACCGAAGAGAAGGATTATCATGATAATAATCGATGGTAATGCGACTATAGTCGATGCACGTTGGAAGTTGCCGAGAGCCGTGTGGCTATAACAGGGAGAAAACGGTTATCTCGTGACATTCACCGGGAGAAAGTGCTTCTGTCGAGGGAATAGCCGACAGAATGAGGGTATTAAGGGAGATTCGCTGAAGGGAAGACAGTCTGCCGAGAGAAAGTTATCATGCCGAGTATATTGCCAAGGGAAACAGTTCAGTCAAGAGAATATCCGAGAGATTCTACCTGGTCCATGACATCTCTCGATAATGGTTAAGCAATTTGATCAATGGTTGGGAGAAACGTGATTATAGTCGGAAGAAGCATTGCTGGAATGGACTACAGTCGGGAGAAGTATGACTACAGTCAAGAAATTTTGGATTAGCATAGATTACGGCCGAAATAAACGCGACTGCAGGCAAGAGTTGCATGACTGGAATGTTTGGCGAGTGGAATGATTGTGAATGGGCTGACTGGCGTGCAAGGAATCGAGGATCCAAACCACCTCTCTTTGTTACTTGGTCATGTGGAGATGGTTGGTTGAGTGACTAAGTAACAAGGGTAGATGTGTGAATGGATTATTGATATGGTGGCTAGGATTAAGAGAATTGGCTGATCATGGAGACTACAGTTATTTCATCTGATATCTGCAAATGGCTAAGGTACTTGTTAAACTGGTCTAGTGTTTATGAGACTAAGGCTAGTAAGTTGTGTAGCTGGTTAAGTGTGCAATGAGATTATGGTTTAGAACTGTTAAGTTGATGGGTTAGATTAGCCCTGGGCATTCGGATCCTCGGGTCGGGTCGGGTCGGGTTTTTCGGGTTTCGGGTAGTTCGGGTAGGTAGGTATAGGACCCATTTCGGATCCGGTGAAATATCGGGTCGGGTCGGTTTGGGTATTGTTCGGGTCGGGTTGGGTCTTGTAAAAAAAGAAAAACCCGACAAAGACCCAAAAATTTTGGGCTTCACCCGAAAGACCCGAATAGATCTAATAAACCCGAAAAAACCATTTCTTATTTAATATTTTGGAAATTTTTGGGCTTTTACAAAATAACTAAACTACAAAAGACCCAACAAATTTTAACCAAAATTACAATTGAGTTTGATTTAAAAAATAATTGAATTAACAATAGATAACCGGTTCTAACCGGACAAACAAGTAGTCCTAATTTTTCTAAGCCAGAAACGAAGGAGCCGCCGCCGACAGAGATGAGGGAACTTGCCACTCAGACCACCTCTAATGCAGCCGTGAAGAGTTGAAGGACCAAAAACAAAATGACACCGTGGGGGGGGGGGGGGGGGGGGGGGGGGGGGGGGGGGGGGGGGGGGGGGGGGGGGGGGGGGGGGGGGGGGGGGGGGGGGGGGGGGGGGAAAAAGAGCTGCCAAGCCTCAGAGTCCTTCTGAAAGCACTACCGGAAGGGAAACGTCAATTTAGAAGCAAGATGCATGTGGCTTTGAACATTTCTCTTTGCACATTTCTCTTTTAATATCTATCTCCCTTAAACATCTTTTCATAAAACCCTAATTTGATGGTTTTTTTTTGGTTTGTTCGGGTAACTGATCGGGCTTTACCCGAATCAAACCGATACCCGGATTAAAATTAATTAAAATCCAGTCAGTTATTTGAAGAAAACCGAAACCGAACCAAACTGGTTTTTTCGGGTCGGGTCGGTTGAGGTTTGTCGGGTCCGGGTTGGATGCCCAAGGCTAGGTTAGATGGATAGAAGCTATGGAACCTCGTTAAGTAAAAGAAAATTATAAAATACCGAAGTCTGGCCAGAAAGTGGCCAGATAAATCCTTATTGAGATTTGAAAATCTGGTTCAGGATTTTTCAGAAATCCCCATTCGGTCTTCCTGAAAACCCGACTGACTCTTTCGTGTAGTGCCCATAGGACTCAAACAGGCTTCCGTCTCAGAAAGGCTCGTCGTCTTTCCCCAAAACTCGGAGGCACAACTCTTCCACTCAGATGAGTAATACACCCCACGTGGCATTTTGTAAAATGTTTTCGAATAACATACATTTTATATGTAAACCAACTAAAATATGATGTATGCGCATATTTATATTAAAATATTTTAAAATTTAAGAAAAATAAATTTAAAATAAAATTGAATTAGTTGTGATCTTTTTTAAATTAAGTGAAAATCATCAAAAGAACAAATTTCACCAAACAAATCACAAAATTAGAAAACAAAATTATTAGAAAATAGAAATGAAGTTAATAATTTTAAAAAATCACTAAACTAAAATAAATTTATGTTATTATGTTATTAAAATGGAAACAAACTTTAAAAATAAATAGTCCATTATGCACATAACGTAAAAAATGCATAGAATAATAATAGAATTTTTTAAAAACATATATTGATAGATTGAAACTAAAAAAATTAGTATTATTTTGTTTGATAAAAACTTATAAGAGATTTTATGTATTTATATAAATGTGGGTATCTGTTGGACCTATATTTTTTATAACAATCTAGAGGTGACATGTGGCTACTGGGCTCTACCAGAGCACTGGCTTCTTCATCTAGGTCTGCAACGGCTCCTTAGCAAACTGTTCCAGGGCAAGTAGTAGGCTTACCAAACTAGGCATACTGTACTAGTCTATCTTTTCCGCCGTGCGCCGAGTGGACGGGACTTGTCAAAGAGAAGGAAGTATAAAAGGAGGCTTAAAGCCAAAAGAAAAGGGAATCCAGAACCTTCAAACTGAGACCGAATCTTGAGAAAATACACCACAAAAGGAGAGAAAGAAAAGAGAAGAAGAAACCTTTGATGTCCACCTTACCGGAGCTCGCTCCGGTCCTGTTCAGACAGCAAAGCTAAAAGGGGTATGCTCGTTGTCCCCCAGAAGGAATGCCAGCCGATATAAGCCTTCCTCTCTCCCTATGTCGTGCATCATAACACTCATGTAGAGAGAGTTCTAACCCCGCTTTTGTCATGGTCCTTTTACCATACTTTCATCCTTTCCAAACATCAGATGGGTATCACAATCCTCGGACGGGGTACCCAAACTATGAACACCTCATCAAACCTATCCTCCTAAGTTCCTGCTCCTAGTAGGGCATGCATTGAATTGAGCATTAGAGAACCTTCGAGAGAAAAACCTCTTTCTGATACCCGGAGACCTCACTTACTCGTTTACTAGTATATACAGGCAGGGGCGGATTCAAAAATTAATTTAATGTGAGGCATATGCAACACCTTACCCTTGCCTGCGTCCGCCACTGTATACAGGATTCCACCGGACTTACACCTCGGAGCTGTATACTGCTCATCTCTCAGAGGACAAAACTCAGAAATCTCCGAATGAAAACGCACCCCCTGTAAGTATTCCGTAATTTGCTTCCCCAATAGTATCACTTTTCTTTTTATTTTTGGATTAGGATATCAGTTAATATAAATTTCTAAATTAAAATTATTCATATTTATGTTTGTTATTATTTTTCTTTTTTAATTGTGATTTATTATTTTTAAATTTTTTTATCATTATTCTCATTTTAGAAATAATATTTGATTGTAAAATTTTATAAACTCAATAGTTTATTTTCAAATAAATTTAAATCACGATATATGTCGATTCTGGACAATTGAATCACCATATCTTGCGATCATGTTAAATTCTAACTTTGCAATTAAAATTATATTAATTTATTTTTGTTTTATAGTTTTTAATTAAAATATATCTTTTTATTTTTTAGTTGTTTCTTATTTATTTACAAATAATATTTGACTGTAAACATTTCAAAGAAATTTAAATAGCAACACATATAAATCACTATCTATTATATTAACTAGCAACTTCCTACTGATTTTCTGTAGAAATGTTTTTACAAAAATTCAATTTTCCACAAACAATTTCTTAGCTAAAATTTGTGTTCCTAATAAATTTAATTAACAGCATATGTCAAAATCTTATCAATTAAATCATCATATGTCACTATCATGTCAATGAATAACTTTAAAGTATGTGATTTTACAATTTACGTAATAAGTTGAATTAGCTAATAATATTTTAAATTAAAATGATTAATATTTCTAATAAGAATTTGGATTTCAATTATAATATGATAATCAATTCGTCACAGTTTTATAAAAATAAATATATAAGTAGATAATATAAAATCCTTAAATATATGAAAAATGTTATAAAATTTAACTAGAAATAACTGAGAATAAAAATAAATAAATAAATTCTAGTTTTTTGTGATTTTAATTTGATAAACTTTAGTTGTACTTTAACTTTTTATATATTTTTACGAATTTTCAAACAATTTTAAAATCTGCATATATACGGTTTTCTAATCTAGTTATGTATATACATTTTATAGCTCATAATCTAGTAAAACAGGAACAGCCTAATCATCTCTTTTATTCTACTATAAATTAATGATGTATGTATCTTCGTTTGTGGTTGTATAATCTCTTTTATGCAGATCATGTAAACTCCATTTAATATACATAACTGATTATGTCAGAAAAACAAATCTTTAAAGTGCTTCTTTTGTAAACAAATTCACAAAACGTTTATATGTACTATATTAACATGTATATATATGTTGAGGTGTTCTCTAGTATACAATTAAAATTCTATAAGTCAAATTTTATACTTATGGTAGATAATAAATTTTAGTCAAATTCATAGTAATTCTAGTCAACTTTATCATAAATAAATGTAGAATATTTCTTTATGGTAAGATTAAAAATAAAATATTTGGTTGAATATTGAAACTTTACTCAATAAAAATAGTATAAATAAGGCTTTTTGCAAAGATCTAGAAATTATAATAAAATATTATTTTCAATAGAACTAATAGTATTAAAAAAATATATACGATGAATTTCATAAAAACATATGTATCTATTTTCCTTGTATTGGTATTGACAATTTCGTTTTCTAACTACATCATTTTGGCTAAACCAGGTAAATTATTGTTATTGTTCAGTTATATTTTATTATCTGAAGAGTAATAGTTCAATATTTTGTTTCATAAAATACATAATTAATAATAACCATTTTCTATGTATATATATAATTTTTTTAATGAACATCTTAAATATATTTATAATTTGGGTTGTATATTTGCAGCAATGAGGATAACTGATTATAAATGCATCGAACCATGTGCAACATTTTATGGAAACAGAAAATGTTATAATGATTGCATAAGTCATCACTATGATGGAGGACAGTGCGACGGTACCGAAGGTGGAAAGCCACCGCAATGTTGTTGTTATAATTATACAGATAACATGTCTCCTTATAACTAAAGATTTGGATAAAAGTATTTTTATTCGATCATATTTTAAAAAAAAAGTTACGTATTATTTATTCTTTCACAACTTTCGATAGTGAATTTAATCTAATAAAAGTAATATTTTTATACTAGAGTTTTTGTATTCTAATTATTTTTGTTATTATTCTGCAATCTAATTAATATTTTGCTAAAATTCTAAATTTAGTTTGGACAATTAACTTAAATGATAATTGTAAAAATTTCAAATAAATTTAAATAGCAACACATGTAAATCAATAGCATTTATGTTAACTAGCAACTTCCTACCAATTTTCTGCCAGAATTTTCTTATCAATTTTCCACAAACAATTTCTAATGAATTCATTCCATAAGAAATTGGTGGGAAATGGCCATTTCCTACCGAAATAACACTGATATAGTCTTAAGAATTATACTTTCTTCTTGTAGTGCTTAAACATATGCAAATTTAAATAATAGGACTAATTTTGAAGTTGAAATTATATTTTTTATTTTTATTTTAATTTATTTTCTTATTTAAAATGTATCATTTTGTTTTATTTTTCCCTTTTAAATTATTTCTTATTTACTTAGAAATAATATCTTATGTAAAGTTTGCTTAACTAAAATTTTTTTTATAAACTTAAATAGCGACACATGTCAAAATCTTATCGATTAAATCACCATATATATTGATCATGTCAATGAACAACTTTAAAGTATGTAACTTTACAATTTATATAATAAGATGTATAAGTTATTAATATTCTAGCTTAAAATGATTAAAATGCATGTCAATGAATCAATAAGAATTTGAATTTCAATTATAATACAATAATTAATTCGTCAAAGTTTTATGAAAAATAAATATATATATATATATAAGTAGATAATTATTATAAATGAACCTAATTCATATGAATATAAAACTGCTAAATATTTGAAAACGTAATAAAATTAAATTAAAACTAACTGATTATAAAAATAAATGATTTTTTGTGATTTTAATTTGATAAACTTTAATTGTATTTAATTTTTTCATATAGGACGATCAAAATTATTTTTGACATTTTTATAAATTATTTTACAAACTTTAAAACAAATTTCAAATCCGTGTGTACACGGTTCCTAATCTAGTTATATATACATACATTGTAGCTCATAATCTAGCAAAGGAGGGACAGCCTAATGATCCTTTTTATTCTACTATGAATTTATGATGTATGTATCTTCATTTGTGGTTGTATGATCTCTTTTATGCAGATGATGTAAACTCTATTTAATATACATAACTAGAAGAAGGTACGCACGTTGTAGATTTGTGATATATTAACTATTTTAATTTTACAATATACTTCATTATGTTTGTTAGTAAAAAATTTCAGTAAATAATAATATCTTAGTTGTAAATAGCATTTAAATTTTGTTTTAAAAAGTTGGTGAAATAATAATGTTAGGTTTTCCTCTGTTAGAGAAGTGAAACTGCTAATGGGGATTGCCGAAAAAGAAGATCTTCAAAAGTAGAATCCATATTGTAGTAGTGGTGGTAATTTGAGGTTCGATGCAGTAGGAAAGAAAGTAGTGAGCCATTATTTATGAAAGCAAATAGTGCATGATTTTTTTTGATTGGCCAAAAAGAAAACATGAGTAAATGAGTTTATTTTATAGATAGAAACAATAACACAATCAGCTCTTAAAAGTTAAGAAAAATCTAATAATGTGAAAGTCAATTCAAAAGAGATAAGAAAACCAACAATAAAATAAAATAAGTGACAGTTGACTTTACTATATAATATAAGATTTGTATTTTGTTGGGTGATTTGATTTTTTTTTATGCTTGTTGAATGAAAAAGAACTGTTTGGAGAAGGGAAAAACTTAGATCGATGAAAAAGAATTTAGTAGAAATAGAAAAATAAGTGACACATATTAATTTTTAAGATGAAACATAACAATATGTAGTTGTTTATTAAAAAAACCTTATTGTATTTTATAGAATAATAATATCTATAGAGAATAAGGTTTGACCTTGTTATGAAAGTAAAGTTGTCACTGTTCCAAGAAAATTAGCGAGGATGATTGGAAAGAAGGTCCTAGAGAGTAGAATCCAAATTGTAATAGTGGTGTCGGTTTTAAATTCGATAGAGTAGAGAAGAAAGGAGTGAGATATTAATCTAAAAAAATTCACGAAAGCAAATAATGCATGATTTTCTGCCACAAAGAAGATACAAAGAAGTGAATCTATTTTTTTTGCGATGTAACAATGTCACAATCAGCTCTTAAAAGTCAGAATTTTTTTTTTAATAATATGAAGTAAGAAACATAATGAAAGACAATTATGTTGAGAAGAAAAAAAAATAGAAAAAGTAACACATGATCTTACTATATTATATAAGATTTTGAGTGTTTTGACTTTCGTTTCTGTTTGTTGGATGAAAAAATTGTTTGTAGAAGGAAAAAAATATAATAATTTTTCACAAAAGCAAATAATGGATGAGTTTCTGTTCGATTGGCCACATGTCAGTTATTTAGATGTCATGTGGCAGCATATCACAACTGCTTCTGGAAAAAAACCTTACTTTATTAGAATAGATAGATAGATAGAAAAAAAAAGAGACATATGACCTTACTATATTATATAAGATTTGTTTGAGTGATTTGATTTTTGTTTATGTTTGTTATTTGAAAGAGAATTGATTAGAGAAAGGGAAAAAACTGAAGCTTTATTTTTGTGTTTGATTGATGAAAGATAATTCAATAGAAATAGTTAAAAATAAAAGTATCATATCAGTTTCTTAGATGCTATAATAAAAAAGAATAATTTTGAGAAAAAAGAAAAAAAAGAGAAAGTGACACATGATATTACTATATTATATAAGATTTGTTTAAGTGATTTGATATTTATTTATATTAGCTGGATGAAAAATAATCGTTTGTTGAAGAAAAAAAAAACTGAATCTCGGTTTTTGTGTTTGTTTGATGAATAGAATTCAATAGAGATTATAAAAAAGAGAAAAGTGATGCATGTCGGTTTCTAAAATGACACGTGACAACATATTAGAGTTATTTATGAAAATAAACTTACTATTTTTAATAAGAGAAAACGAGGTTTGATCTTATTAGGAAAGTGAAGCTGTCACCATTCCGAAGAAGTATGGGAGGATGATCGGAAAGAAGGTCTTAGCGAGTAGAATCCAGATTTTGATAGTGGGGGTGGTTTTGATGTTCGATAAAGTAGGAAATAATGAGTGAACCATTAATGTAAAAATATTTTTGAAAGCAAACAATTCAAGATTATCTATTCAGTTGGTCACAAAAAAACATACAGAAATGAATATGTTTTTTTGCGTAAAAGTAATGTCACAGTAAGTTTTAAATAATGTGAAGTAAAAGTTATAATGAAAGAGAATCGTGTTGAGAATGAAAAAAAAACTTAATCATTGTTTTTGCGTTTTTTGATGAAAGAGAATATAATAGAGATAGCAAAAAATGAAACATGACCTTAATATATTATAGAAAAATTATTTGACTGATTTGATATTTGTTTCTATATGTTGGATGAAAGATAATCGTCGGGAGAAAAAGAAACTGAATATATTATTTATTCAGATAGAAAAAGTGACATATGACCTTAATATATTATATAAAATTTATTTGAGTGATTTGATTTTCGTTTCTATTTGTTGGATGATAGATAATCATTTGGAGAAAAAGAAACTGAAGCTTTGGTTTTGTGTTTATTTAATGAAAGAGAATTCAATAGATTTTTTTTTAAGTGACATATTTTTAGATGTCACATGACAGCATATCAGAACAAGTTTTGAAAAAACCTTACTTTATTAGAATAGAAACTTTGTTTTTGTGTTTGTTTGATGAAAGAGAATTCAGTAGAAATAGTTTTTTTTCAAGTAACATATGTCAGTTTTTTAAAATGCCACATAGCAGCATTACATAGCAGATTTTTTTGAAACAAATTACTGTAATAAGAATAGAATAAAAGCTTTGTTTTTGTGTTTGTTTGATGAAAGAGAATTCAATATAAATATTTTTTTAAAAACTTTACTTTATTAGAATAGATTCATTATGTTGAAAAAACAAATATTAAAAGTGCTTCTTCGTAATAAAATTCACAAAAAAGTTTAGTATATTAACATGTATATATATGTGGAGGTATTCTCTAATATACAATAAAAAATTATTTAGTCAAATTGTATACTTATGATTGATAATAAATTTTAGTCAAATTCATTGTAATTCTAGTCAACCTTATAATAAATAAATGTAGTAGAAGACTATGAACACAACTAGGAAAGATTGGTTTGTCAAGCTGGATGATGCTCTTTGGGCATATAGAACTGTTTATAAGACACCATTGGGCACGACCCATTTTCATCTGGTGTAAGGAAAATTATGTCATCTTCCAGTGGAGTTAGAATACAAAGCAGCATGAGCTGTTAAGCTGTTGAACTTCGACATCAAGCCTGCTTCCGAAAGAAGGTTGATACAACTGAATGAGCTGGATGAGATTAGGCACTTGGCTTATTAGAACTCAGGGATCTACAAGGAGAGAACTAAAGCCTACCACGACAAGATGATCATTTCAAGGATTTTTGCTGCAAATGACCAAGTCTTACTGTTCAATTCCCGCCTGAAGCTGTTTTCCGGCAAGCTGAGATCAAGATGTTCTGGTCCCTTCACCATCAAAGAAGTGATACCATATGAAATTTGTGGTCAATGGTCAGCACCTAAAGCCATATCTTGTTGATACTGAAATCACCGAAGGGGAGACCATTCCTTTCAGTGATGCACTTACAGCTTAAAGGGCAACCAAAATCAAGCTCATGACTTAAAACAAGTGCTTGGTGGGAGGCATCCCACTAGTGAGTGTATATATATCGTTTTCTCTTTATTTTATAACTTTTAGTTTTAGTTCTAAGTGTTTCAGGTCAAAAAAAAATCAAAAAAATCAAAAAAAAAAATTTAAAAAAAAAAACGCTCAGAATCACCCTCACCTCACTTTCAGCCATATCCAGGTAAGTTTTCTCATCCCTTACCTAGTTCTTCATCCTTACCATCCTATTTTTGCTTTCTTCACACTGGGACAGTGTGATTTAAGTCTGGGAAAGGATGTTCATCC